TCTCTTGATGACGAAGCACCTATCTGCTTGTTTGTTTATGGGGTAAGGTATCGTCATTTTTCAATATTTTAACTATATATACTATTTACTTTGTTTTCTATTTTTGAAGCTAGGCTGAAATGCTTGTCTCAAAATTTTTAATTTTGTATTTTTCAGGATTTCCTATGCAATTGCAATTTTAAACAAAAAAAATTTCTCCTTCCTTAGAGATGAATGGATGAAGTTTCTTGCAATGACTTGCACAATGTAATACTGTATTCTTGGGCTTAGCTTATTAGGTTGTCACTAGTTCATGTGAACTCTAATTTTAACAAGAAATTGAATTTATGGGGTCCTTTTCACCTTGATTCTCATTGTATTCCATGTTTTTAACTTTTTATTAATTATTAACCGATCTTGTTACGACATGGTTTGAAGGAAGACCACTAGGAGTTGAGATTAATAGTGTTCAACTTCCTTTTATTTTTTCCCGAAATATTGTTTTTATTCTGAACCCTGATCCCATTTCTTAACTTATCAAGATGAGTAATTATATTTGCCAGAACTTGCAGTAGCTAATGTATTAAAAGTTAGAAATTATTGCACGTGGAACTTATATGGCGGGCAGGTATTATAGATCCTGGAGACAAGTGTGATACAAGGGATTAAACAATTAGAGATGGATGGTGAGATTAAACTTACTGATAACATCAGCGAAGCACATGCACTACTTGCCTTGCAGTCCAAGCTCAAGAAGAATCCTCGAATTCAAGCTGCCGCTAGATCCCATGGCATACCGATTTATGTTACGAAGGTAACTTCCCATAACTTTTACTTAGCCTTGCATATCCCTTGTTAATGAGTTCTTATTGAAAATTTTCCTTTCCATCCTCCTCTTCTTCAATTTACATTACATAATATGTTTTTTGTAGACAAGCTCATTGATGCAGTTGACGAAAGCCATACGGGCATTAATAGCTGATCATGAAGATGGTTTTAAGGATTTTGAATCGGATGACAAGATAAATGCGCCTCAGAAGATTGAAGCCTTGGAGGTGAAAATGAGTTTTCTTTTTGCCTTATCTATTTCATCTTTCTCACTGCATGGCTACATGCTATTGACACTCGCTAACTGAAGGGTTTGCATGTGCCAAACTGAAGGAGATTTTCCAGTTTGGTGTAGTACGTTAATTATGTGTTGGGCTTGGATTCAATTCAAGCACTTCATTAATTTAGCCATTCTGTATTGGGCCGTTCTGTATTGGGGGGGATGGAAAACTGGCTTAGCTTGACCCAACTTTTGGGCCTATTCCTACCCAGAGGCAGTGCCACATGTTTTTCAGGGTATTCAGTTGAATATAGTTCAATACCTGACTTTGTTTTTCTTTATGTTTACACCTTAAAATTTGAACACCCAAGTTAACATATTTTGAATACTCATTCCACAAATCTTGAATATCCAACTCACCCATCTCAAATTTTGCACACCCACTTTACAATCCACTTGCAAGCTCTTATAATTTTGAATGTAATACCCTCATAAGAAACACATGTATCCAGAAACACACGGATCCAGAAAAAGTGCTTAGAAAGTGAAGTGTATGGTATAGGTTTAAAGTTGGGGTGGTGTGGGCTGTCTAGTCCATGCACTCAAAAACCCAAAAATGCTATCCTCAAATTGAAAAAAGTAAAAAAGTTAATACATGAAAGATAGCTCTTCAGTAAATATAACTTATGTTGAATTATGGCACTATGCCTCGTTTGAGAGTAGGTTATTTTGGTTATTTTTTAACGTTTTGGCTAACATATGAGGTAAAAAAAACTAGTAATTTTGGGATGACTTTTTAGTTTTTTACAAAAAAACGTGCAAAAAGTAAAGAGAAAATGGAATCTTTGAATTTTTTTTTTTTGGTATAGTTTGTTTGTTTTTTGACTTTTTTAGCGACTTTTTGGCTTTTAGGCTAAAATGAGCGCTTCCCAAACGAGGCAAATTTGAAAAAAACTGCCTCCAAACTCCATCAAATTATTTTTTTATTTGTGATTTGAGAAGTTTAAATTAAGAGATTATTGGAAGTGGATGATCGGTATAGATAAGTGTGACTTCTTTTATATAAATTCTAATTCAAGCTTTTTAAATGTCTACCTTGACCAAAATTCTAGGAGGCGACACTGTTCCTGCCTATACTACCCACATTTCCATGTGTCACTTCCATCTGAACTGAAAAAAGATTGCCATGCTTTATGTTCATTAAAAATTGAAGGCTCTAGTCAGGCTCATGAGCCTCAACATTGATACCATGCATGTGGCTTAATGAAAGAATGAATATGTTCACCTTAATTAATCCCAGGATACCAACCTAAAGGTATGCTTTGGGTTTAGATTGCAGTAAAATGAATTTAGGCTTTTAGAAATTTTACACATATTTGAAGTTAAATTACATTAAATGCATCTAAGAAAATGTAGTAGTAGCATAGTCAGAGGACTGCAATGGACTTGCATAGCAGCATTAGGAAACTAGATTTTATTTAACAAATAATATAACTCAAGTTAGTTAAAATAGCAAGAGTAGATTTCGGTTGCCAATCATGAGGTATTGTATAAGGTCCTCTTTGGTAGGGCTGAGTAAGGAATTCGTAAAATCCGTAAAATCCGTAATCCGATCCAGTCCAGTCCAATCTGATAGGTTTGGATTGATTTTTTGAATCCGTGGTTCGATTTCGGATTGAAGAATTAAAAATCCGTAGTCCACGGATTGGTTCCGGATTGAACCCCACGGTTCCGGATTGAAACCGATCCGGACCGTATACATATAGTCTATATTTTTATTATACATCCTCCCCCATAATATATTCTCTTATTCTATATAAAACCTAAACTCAAACCTAAACCCCGTATAATATGTTCTTTTATTACTTTTGTTTGTTAGTTTTTAGTTTTAATTTGTAATGGTCTAAATACTTATGGTGAAATCAGTTTTCTTATGGTTGTTTAAATTCTAGAATATTATGTCACTATTATAGAAAAACATGTTGTTATTATGGAACGAATAAAGAGCTATGCTTATATTTTTATGAAATTAAAATGTTATATATATATATATATATTTTTTTTGTTATTTAATTATGTGAATCCGTGGTCCTAAACCGATCCAATCTGTGTTTAAACGGATTGGTTCGGATTAGTTCTATGATTTAAACGGATTGGATTGGTTCCGATTGTTCAGAAACCGTAGATAATGGATTGGTCCTGGTTTTGTCCCAATCCGGACCATGCTCACCCGTACTCTTTGGCCAAACTCTTAAATAAGTTGCTTTTTTGTTAAAAAAGCCACAAGCCGAAAGTCTGTTTGGGACAGCTAAATAAGTTGCTTTTCCATAGAAAGCTTCTTTTTTTTTGAGAATCTGCATGTTTATGAAAAGACAATTTTACCCTCAGGGCATATTACAAATTCCACCGTGTCTCTTTGGTTATGTTAACCAAGACTCCACAACACTATGAGTGTACTTGTCCTTTTAACGTGATTTCTTTCGGCTAAGCTTTTTTATCCATATTTGGTTGACCTTATTTGTTTCTTGGAACTTCTCGATAAAGATTTTCTCTCCCCATCTTACAGGAGGCCAGGATTGCCATCGAGCAAGTAGTGATTCCGAAAGGGGAACCTGTGGAGCTACTCCCTAGGCCATCGAACATTATTTTGCTTCAGAAGGACCTCATTCACAAGTACAAGTTACAAACAGAGAGAGTTGGAGCAGAGCCGGACGCACGACTTCGTATCCTTCCATATCAAACTACAAGGGATGATGAAGACGAAGACGCCAGTGAGAGTATTGATGCTGATAGGGAGTTTGATGACTTGTTCAGTCTCAATGGCGAAACAACTGGTCCGCCCTACGTTGTTGATAGATTGCCTCTCCTCCCCGACTAGGCACTATAGTATGTATAGACTGGTTCTATGATGTCTCAGTAGTGTGTAGCATCTTGTAAGGTCTGGCCATCTCAAATCTGTATAGCATTTTGTGGAAAAATTTACTGCTACCAGATTTTAGCTGCTAATTGAAAAGATCCAAACCTTTAATGGTCTTAAATTTATTTTCCTTTTTGTTGTTGAAGTTTTTGATCTTTTTGCATTTTCAGTTATGTAGCTGGTGAAGATGTGGAAAAGATAAATTGATCATTTCACTTGAAATTTCTTCTTTTGGGGAGAATACTTTCTTTATGGACTAGTATGGCCCTATCCATTTTTATCTTTGTTTTCAGACAGGAAAATGAATGTATTGAAAGACGAGAGAACATTGCTGTGAAAATTCCCATTTGCCCCCTACTTGATTTGGTCTCAAAGTGGGGGCAAGAGCCGCATTTCCTTTCAGCTATTTTACGTGCGCAAAATCTAATCATATAGCCTTGTTTGGTAGAATTTTTTTAAAGTTAAAATTTGATAATTAGAAAGTAAAAGTTAAAAGTATTCATTTCACAGTTTTTAAATAAATAGTTTTTTTTTCAATTTATTTAAAGTATTTTTGCCTAATAAGTTATTAGTAAAAGTTACACCAAACAGTTTGTCACAAACTCTCAAATTAAAATAAGTTATGATCATCATTTACAATCTGTATCAAAAAGTCCCAGAACTGGACACAACTATCTTGCATTAGGTTAGACTCACACATTTAATGAATCCCATCTCTTATGAGAGAGGTGTGTCTAGCTCTATAGTTGAATTTGTGCACTTAAAATTTTCATTTCCTTCTCATTGATATATCTCTTTTTTTTTTTTTTTTTTTTTTTTTTTTTTTTTTTTTTTTTTTCTTTTTTGTCAATTAAATAAAGAGTTAATTATATGGACATTTCACAACTAATGGGGATATCCCGGCCAGAACTCTTGTATCTGACTACGAGATCAATGATTCAAATCTCTTCACTTGTGTGTTTTTTTTTCTTTCGTGTATTAATTGAGAATTTCTCTCCTATTTTGGGAGTTACTTTATTTGTATTGATTATTGTATTGTATTTGATTTTAATTTCATCTTTATTATTATGATTGTAATTTGTTGGGTTTTATTGTAATATCTTGTATAAATAAATTTAAAAAAAAAATTCCTATCAATTATAAAATTATACATTTGGACTCTCAATTGTAATAGTCTATCACTTCCTTCAAATGGGGATATTTGTATTTTTTTTTTTTCCCAATTAAAGAGTTCAAATATATAATTTTATAATTGCAGAAGCACTGGTCAAAATTTTATTAATTTTTTTAATAATACAAATTGTGGTTATCAAATATTTATTTAAGGATTAGATTCAAATTCCACACTGCTTTTGATCTAAAAATTCATATTAGCCAATCACAGAAAACTCCATAGCTTTTATATTACACAGTTTGATAATAGCTTAGATAAGGCTGATAAGCCCTCCATCAGCAAATTTAATGTTTTTTTTGGGGAACAAATTACAGTTATAGTCCCTAACGTTTTCTTATTTTATCAGTTTAGTCCCTATCTTTCTAATTATAACACATTTGTCCTTAGAATTTTTCATGTGTCTCAAATAAGGACGATTCTTAACAGCCATCCAAATTTTAGACAGAATTTGTTCATGTGAGGTGCACATGATACTTTTATAAGGTCAATAATGCCATTTTGCTCTTTTCCCTAATCCAACTCAATAAGTTTACTCATTGAGTTAACCCACTTTTTTAGTCAACTTTACTTTCACCACCCTATCCTGTCATACAACCACAACTTGCAAGTCACCACCATCCACCGACTGTTAGCCCACCAGTCCCATCCTTGTCTCACCCTATTTCTCTACTGGTCTGCCTAAGGTGTGACATCTGCCATGGGGAGGGGAAGGGAAAAAAAATCACTAGACCCACTACATCCCACAAATTAACTGATGGATTTATCTAATGGAGTTGAGATTCTCTTGGAATGGTTGAGACTCTTTTTTTACCTCTCTATTTGTAATGGTGGAGATTCACTTTGAGTTGATTAAACGGTTTAGATTTAGTTATTTAAAAATAAAAAAATAATAAAACAAATTCAAATTTGCTTTTCTCGCCCAAATCTGAGTCATTGGATCAACTCAAGGTGCATCTCCACCATTGCAAATAGAGAAATAAGGAGGGAGCCAATAAAATGATCTCAACTCATAATATATATTCATTATATAGAGTTGAGATTCTCTCATTGGGCTCTCTCCTTACTTCTTTACTTGCAACGGTAGAGATCCACTTTGAGTTGATCCAACGGCTTAGATTTAGCTATTTTAAAAAAAAAAAGATGAGAGAGATTGAGAGAGAGAGAGAGGGGCATGGCTGTGTGAAGAATGAGAGAATAAGAGATAGGAGGAGGGATTAGGTGTGGTCAAATGTATATGGAATGAACTGCACATGACCAAATTCCGTCTAAAATTTGGATAGCTGTTAATAATTGTCTTTATTTGACGCATATGGAAAACTCTAAGGGCAAATGTGTTGCAATTAAACGGATAGGGACTAAATTGATATAAGGAGAAAACTTCAGGGACTACTAGTATAATTTGTCTTATTTTTTATTTTATTTTATTTTATAAGTAAACTATCAGTAGGTCCTAATAATTAGACCTAATTGTCATCAAGTTCTATTGAAAATAAGTCCTAGTAAAATTGTCATTAAAAAATAATTTTTTATGATTTTTTTTACATATGTCGCTAAAAATTGATAATTAGTGACTTTTTTTGTCACGATTTTTATAAATTGTCACTAAAACTTTGGGGTGTGCAACGGATCTGCTGACCCATCACACCTGTTTGGCCCAACCCGACCCGAGGCACAATGGATGGATGCGTGACACCTGGCGAGTGAATGTAGGCCCAAAAATACCATTTTTTGCCGGTGCGGGTCAGGTTGCGGGTAATCCGGCAATTTTATTGATTTACCCGACCTGTCCGCCCACACTAATTTCCCCCTATTTTCCCCTAGTCTTGCCCCCTTTTTTTTCATTTGAGGTTTGTTGTAGCCCTAGGTTTTGAGTTCGACGACACTGTGCCTGTCTCTCTTTCTCTCTTGAACGGAGGCGACGAGAAGCGATCGGCATTGGCGACAGTGGTGGCGAACAGTGATCGAAGCATCGATTCAAAGGTAATCTTCTCTTCTCTCCTTCTCTTTGATCGGCGATCGGCGACTGTGTTCTGTGTTTTTATTTTTTTATTTTTTGAGTAATTAGGGCTTCGGCTTCTTCTCTTGTCTTTTCTTCTTGTCTTTGTACAAATCTGCTTATTTTTTCAGGGCTTCGACTGTGTTTTGTTGATCAATTAAGGCTTTGATTGTATTAAATTAATCATGTTTAAGGTTGAGGTCTAATTATTTCTATTTATTTCTGCTTTGATTGTGTTAAGTTAATCATGTTTAAGGTAGAAATACAGATATGCTTATTTCTTGTTTCTAAGTATTTGATCAATGACAGCCCAAATTGATGACCTAGACTTCATGGTTAAGGTTGCCTTGTGAGCAACCTTTTATGTCTCTCAGTTTATCACATGTTGAAATTGTGTGCATTAGTGTGTTGTGACTTTAGCGGAACTTAATTTTGTTTGCTTTTAGATAGTTCATGGTTTGACTCAAGGAAATAAATGATTTTTTTTTGTTTTTTTTTGAATGACTGTAATATTATTGATTGGATATATAATGTTTTGGAAGATTGTAACTTTTTTTTTATTTATAGAAAAGTAACTTGTTTTTTTTGAACTTTGGATGACTGTAACTTGAATGCACAATATTTTCCTCATACTTTATGTGTAACTTAGATGACTAGATGCACAATGTTTTTGGTGATATTAAAGTATGCCCACTTAAACCAATAAAAACCAATTAATTGCCCAGCTTGTTTAAGAAATGCCCACTGGAACACAGATGTCAATATTGCATTGCATGAGTTGCATCGCCCACCCAGGTTGAATTATGCACAGCACACTTGAATTATGCCACTACTAGAATTATGCACACTTGAATTATCCCACTTAAATATTGAATTATGCAAACTTGAATTATGCCCTGTTTGTTTGAGGAAGTACACAATTGAATTATGTTAAAAATTTGTAAACTTTCAAACTGCCAAATCGATTCGTATTCATCTGTCAATCCGTTAATCCATTCAATCCGCATATGCCGAATTGGAGGACGGATGCAGATTAATTTTTTCCAATCCACCAATTTGAAGGACAGATGGCGGATTGAAGGTTCTGTGGTCGCAACTGATTCGCGCCCACCCCTACTAAAACTTAAAATTAGTGACTTTTTTTTATAACGAATTTTTTAAACTATCACTGAAGTTAAAAATTAGTGATATATTTTATAACAAATTTTTTAAACTGTCGTTTAAAATTAACAATTAGTGATATTTTTTAATAGTATTTGATAAAAATTTTTATTAATTATTATAAAACTTATTAGACAATAAGTATATTTATTAAGAGCTATACGTAAATTATTATTGTTTCAGCTTTTAGTTCTCATATTGTTGGTTTATACTTTTCTTGCATTGGCAGCAAGGTGCAAAGAACCTAAGATACTTTTCTTAAAGAGCACTATCAATGTAACCAACCAATGTTTAAAGTCAACCGTTTACAAATTGAGCACTATTTTGATCAATTTCAACACTATGTCGTTGTGGGTGCTCAAATTACGTTACTTTATTCACAATTTCAAGCATGAAAGTCTTTATATGTTTTTACTTTTTGATGATGTGTATAGCCATGAATGGTCCACCTATGCACTCAATTTGACTAAAATTTTATATTTGTAATCTAAAATGTTAAATTTTTTTGTCATTGCAATATACCAATTGTTTTTGTTCAAAAAAATTAAATTGGCCTTTTGCTCGGCTTAGGTCTCCTTTGAAATGAATTAAAAAAGTCAACTTATTAATTTATTTGGATCATATCACTTTTCTATTTTTCTTTACGTTTTTGTAATAAACAAAAAAGTCAACTTATAAGTTATATCCAAAATAATTAATTAGGCATGCCGATAATCCATCTAATGGCTAGTGGAGTGTTTCTCTTTGACAATTCGCTAAACATATTTGATTACTTTTATTTTTATTTTTCCTAAACATCTCTTTGTACCAAACATTTTCTTTTTCTAATTCTTGAAGAAAGAAGAAATTTTAAACTATACATACTTTAGCAGTTGTTATTAACAACAGGTA